GAAGGTCTCCTTGATGGGCTGACGAGATCCAGGTGTGCAGGAGGGCTCCAGCCCAGGAGACCCACAGCGCACTCTGCTGGAGAAAGGTGGTACTTCTCCAGATCCCAACAGATTGAAACTGTATTGACACTTGGACACCTCTTGTTCATCAATGAAGAGTGGCTGTTAAAATACTTCTTTCATATCAGGAAGACACAGACAGTCCTGCTCTGTACTTTTACTACAGTTGCATGGACACAAATGAGGGTTATAAAGGCCTGATCAGGTCGAACATTTTTCCTGTTAACATGTCAGACTGAAGATTCTAAATAGATTCGGTCCGATCAGAAAGAACTTTTATTCCAAAAGAGAGAGGTGGTTGTTGCCGATTAGCATTCCGATTGGCGTCTTTTTAAACACCTATTTGCATCTTCGGAGTAAAATAACCTCAAATAATTTGGAGTAAAAAAACTTTATAGTCTTTGGAGTAAAACACACTGGGAAAAATCGAAATCTAGATAAGTCATTTTTTCTCAAAATAAGTGCGTTTTTTCTTGAATTGAGGAGGTAAGAGAGACACTTTGCCAATGGAACGAGACAATTTACATTTAAAATAAGAAAAAAAAAACTATTTCATTGTCTTATTTCAAGTGTATTTTATCTAATTACCTTATTTTAAGAGTAAAAATTCTCATTCCATTGGCAAATCATCTTATCAACATACTCAAATCAAGGGTAAATACACTTAATTTAAGACATTTTGACTTTTTTCTAGATCCTTTTTGCAGTGCAGTCTCATCACTGTGCATGTGTGGAACTCATTCCTAAACTTCATGTACTTGTTGCCCGTCCTTGATGAGGAGATAGCACTAAATGTGAGGATTTAACCTTCAAGTAAATCTATTAAATCTCATTTATAGCTCTAATAACGTAAAAACATTTTTTCACAAATTTGAAACCACATTTAGCCTAGATGCGTATTTACAGTTTAGAAGCCCATTCATCTTCTGCTGCTTATCCTTCACAGATGGCTGGTGGCTATCTCCAGCAGTCTATTGGCAAAAGGTGGGGTACATTCTGGATAGGTGGCCAGTCCTTTGCAGGGCAACATAGAGACATACAGCCATGCACACAGTTTGTCGTGTTTTTTGTTTGTTCTTTTTTGGGGTGGTGCCAGAGTACCCAGAGCGGACCCAGGCTAAAGAACATGCCAACTCCATGCAAAAGACTGTAGGTCGTGAATCAATCCTAGGACCTTCATGCTGCAAGGCAACAGTGCTACTAACTGCTCCACAAAGCAGCCCCATTTAGAAGTCCAGATGGATTTCTAACTCAAAATGCTTCCAAGGTTTTGAATGTTCATTCTTCTTTTGCTAATTCAAAGTTAACTTCAAACATACTGAATCTACTATGGGTGATGTTTGTTGCTCACCCCTCAGGTTAGCTTAATTCATTTATAGATAAAAGGTTTCTTAAACCTGCATCATTATCTCTAAATGTGTTGATTCTGTCATCCGTGGTTATTGCAGCTAGAGTAATGTCACCCAAATCAGACATTTGTCTCCCAGGTTGAAAAGAACTAAGCTTAAAATAAATAAATCCATCTATTTGAATACGGATAAAACCTTAGTACTCAGCCTCTCTTAGATCTGCAATATATTTCCAATACACCGAGGTACTGGTCTGTCACATAAATGCTTTGCTTCCTAGTTGCGTTTGGTAATTAGGAATCAAATCAACCTGAAATATATGACAGTATTTAAGCAGTGTGAGTAAATTCAATCAGTGAGGTATGTGTAGCTTGTTCTTCCTCAGGAAATGATATTGTGTCATCATAACACATTATCAGATGGGTGTAAGTGTGTTTGTTTCTGGAGGCTCTTGTCTCGCCTCTGGGCAATGCATTACAGCGGGTAATTACACAGCTTTCCCTCAGACATACTCCTAAATAGCTTTCTCTGTCTTTCCTCCCTGAGAATCCTTGAAGCCATAAAGCTTTAACAGCACAACAAATGAAGTTAGGATGCTGCTGCCAATTACTTCTCATTTACTGTGGTGCAAAGAGTGATCAAATGGTAACACAAGATGTTTTCCAATCTTCTGTCTTTGAGTGATGTTTACATTTTGTCCCTTATTTATTAAGGCTCTATAGACATTTGCATTCTGTTGTAAACAAACATGAGTTTTTGTTTTTTTTATAAAATTGAATGTTATTTCAAGTTGTCACCCTAATATTTATCTTTATTTCTACAATACTTTCCCTGAGCTTAAGGCCATGTGATATTCCCTATGGAACCTATTCTTTCCTCCAATCTGTTTCTCTATCAGGTTGACTCTAACCCTGTCCTGCCCTATGGACTTGAAGAATTTCCCAATGGACATTCAGACCTGCACCATGCAGCTTGAAAGCTGTGAGTTTTCCTTTCTTCCTTTTACTTTTTCTTTAATATTTCCTTTTTTCAATCCTTTGATGTTCTGAGCTTTCTAAAAAAAAATGCCTTATTCCAGGGAACACTCTCTCTGTCTGACCCTCATATTTGTTCAGGTATAGTTTGCTTGAATTAATGGTTCTAAAAAAAACTCGATCTCTAGAATAAAATCGTTCATTACTATTTAGACTTTTTGTTAAAAATAGGTTATCTGTGCCAAAAGTCTTAAATAAATGTTCAATTAAAGTATATGATTTCGTTTGTGCCAAATTGTGTAATTACTTGGAGAAAATTTGTGATGTGCAAGTTCTGGTATTCAAATCATTAGAATAAAGGACAAGTAAAACTAAGTAAAGTACTCATACTCATACTTGAAGTGTCCCACTTCAGAACTGGATCATGGGGGCAGCAGTCTCAGGCAAGATTCCCAGTCTTCCCTCTCCGTAGACACTTCCTACAGCTCTGCTGGGGGAAGCCCGAGGCTGAACCAGGCCAGCCGACAGGCATAGTCCCTCCAGTCATCCTCTTGACATTCTGCCGGGTGGATGTGCCTAGAACACCTCCCGAGGGAGGCGTTCAGGGGGCATCCAAAAAGATGGCTGAGCCACCTCCGCTCACTCCTTTCGATGTGGAGCAGCTCTAGTCCAAGGTTCTCCCGAATGATTGAGCTCCTCACCCTATCTCTGAGGAAGTGCCCAGTCACCCTGCAGCGAAAATGTAATTTCAGCCACTTGCATTTGGGTTCTTATTCTTTCAGTCATGATCCAGGTTTCATGACTATAGGTGAGGGTAGGAATGTAGCCCGACCAATAAATTGAGAGCTTTGCCTTTTCACTAAGCTGGCTCTTCACAGCGACAGACCAGTGCAGCACCTCCTTTTTAGCAGCAGCGGCACCAATCCATCTATCAATCTTCCACTCCATTCTCCCCTCACTTATGAACAGGGCCCCAAGATACTTGAGCTCATCCATTTGAGGCAGGAACTCTCCCCCAAACCGGACAGGGGGAAGCCACCTTTTTCAGGTTGAAAACAATGGCTTTAGACTTGGAGGAGCAGATTCTCATGATGACCACTTCACGCTCGGCTGGAATCCTCCTCCGTGCATGCTGTAAGTCTAGGCAGGAGGGAGCCAGCAGAACCAGGTCCTCCGCGAAAAGCAGATACTCGATCCACTGGTGGCTGCACCTAGAAATCCTGTTGAAAAAGGCTATGAACTGGACCAGTGACAGAGTGTAGCCCTGCAATAGTCCAACATGCACTGGGAACATGTCCAAAAATGCTGGCAATGTGGACCAGACCCCTGCTCCACTACTGAGACTTGATAGCCCCTAGTAAAGTAAATGGTAGTGGTAACTGAGTGGCTGGTTGGCTGGTCGGTGGAGCGAAGTGGGGTCCGATCAGCACGGATGGTGAGAGCAGTGGTCCTGCACAGTTGGACAAACCAGAGGAGAGCCGGGAGGGGTCCTCAGCCCGGCTTGGTAACAGCAAGGGCGCCTCGGAGTGGGATCCTAGTAGGAAGCGGAGGTAAACTTGTCTTGGGGCAACAGAGCACGAAGCGACGCTTGGAGAGGGATCCAAGGAATGAGGCAACCTGAGATAGACAGGAAAGAAAAATTGCGAATAGTCACATAAGCTCTCAGAAGACAGTGGCCAACTCAGGCATACCACACTAGATTAACACTCTGCCGTCCTCCAGCTGTCAGATCACCGCTTAAATGCTCCCAAGTAATGCTGCCAAACAAGCTGCAGGTGTGCAAATTCAAAGTATTTAAATGAGTGCTCTAAAAAGGATTAATAGTACTATATACTTACTAAGTTGCCTGAGCTGGGAAATTACTGCAGAAAACTATAGCTACTTTGTTAAACTGCTTTAATCAACAGTTATTAACAGATGGAATGGTTAAAAAAAAACAGTTAAACAAAAAAGGAAATAGATTAGTGATGGTTTGATAATCTTTTCTGTACCTTTCTTTACACTTTTAAATCTTGAACATGCAATAACATCTATATATTAAACTTTTTAAAAGGTTACAGGAGAAAAAAAAGAATAAATGATATTTGCTCTTTTCAGTCTCCTCTTACCTTTAGTGAGATAAGAGCTGCCCTTATGAAACCAATTTCCAGGATATAAATAATAAAACTTTAATTCAGTGTCCCTTTTATTATATGTGACTCACTGCAATGCCCTGAGGTTATCTAGTTCTTTATCAAAGGAGATCTAAGCTTAGCAAAGGGTGAAATGGACAAAGAATCTATGTCATAAAATAATCTCTGCAGAAGGATGTTCAGCAAATAAATAAGAAAAGTTGGTCTTGTATCTTTTAGCTGATCTAATAACAATTTGTATTGGTGTTCATGGAACTAATCTCAGAGTTTCCAAAGAACAACACAGTTTATTTCTGAAAATGTACTCAAGGACAAACCTTTGGTAACAACTTTTAACTAAACATTTGACATTTAATTGTCAGAACAGTCATTCTGAACAGCTGTGTAGCATTGTGGATTTCCAAGATCCCTTTTCACCTTTAAGTTATACTTCCATCCATTATCTGACACGTTTGTCCCTGGCGCTGGTGCCTATCTCCAGCTGTCTACGGGCGAGAGGCAGGGTCCACCCTGGGCAGGTCGCCAGTCCATCGCAGGGCAACACAGAGACAAACAGGACAAATAACCATTCACGCACACACTCAAACCTAAGGAGAATTCAGACAAGTCAATTAACCTAACATTCATGTTTTTGGACTGTGAGAGGAAGCCAGAGTACCCAGAGAGAACCCACACGTGCTCAGGGAGAACATGCAAACTCCATGCAGACAGACCCCGGACCGGGACCTCCTTGCTGCAAGGCAGCCGTGCTACCCACTGCACCACTGAGCAGCCTTATATTATATTTATAACTATTTTTTTTTTATTTTTGGAGCTGTGAAAATTTAACATGTCATGTTTATATTTTATTTCCTGCAGAATAAAGCTCTGGCAATAAGATATATCCAAATAAAAGTTTGTTTAATTTATTTAAACGTAAAAAAATAAATAAAAAATTGGTGTTGAAAAAGGAGCAGTTAGATTAAGAGTTAAATCAGGGCAGATTCCAATAATCAGGAAGGTAAATGAGTGAGTTCTGTTTAAGAAAGAACAAAGTTTTGGGTGAAGGAGATCCTGGTGGCTTGTAGAGGCAGGTGCTGCAGCAAGGATTAATGTTTTAGAGAGAATTTCTATAAGGTGAAGCAGATAAAGATATAAGCTCTTGACAGACAGTATAAGATGCTGGAAAGCAGACAGACAAGTGATGACTTTAGATACTGGTTCTGTATTGGACAAATGTGGATTGATTTTCAGGAGCTGGCTGTAATAGTGAAGATATTCATCCTTGTTTGCTATAGAAAACTGTCAAAAGCTTTCACCTGCTAGGCATAGAAGACAAAGGAATTGAACTCTAAAAAGAGGTTAGCAGATGGATGTGAAAAATAACTCAAAAATAGTGTCAATGAGGGTATACCTGGGCTCAATTTAAGGATTTTTATCAGGTAAGTTCTGTTTGTGTTAAAAGTATGACATCCTTAAAGTATGTAAAGAAGATTCAAAACTCAAATAACCAATAAGCATTCCTTGTTTGGGCAGGGAACTTTGCAAGGTCCTGTATGGCCACCCTTCTTATTAGAAATCTGTTCTGTTCGATTCTAAAGTTGAGAATAGCCTTCTCTCCATCAACCTTTGAAAAATCACCAAATGCCATTCTGACCTGAGGCCACTCTGACAGCAAAGATTCCTCATCATTTATCGGTCAACAGAGACATATGTCAATTCTGAAAGATTTAATTGGCAAGGAACTGGACCTCCATATGAGCAGCTTCCTGGTTCCAGCTTAGTTAGCTGGTAATATAAACTTTTCTTTGGGTCTGTACCCCATTCCATTCCTTTTTCATTTCTTCTTTGTAGTTGTTTGTAACAGTGCATTTGCTTTTTAAGGAGATTTTGAGAGCTAAATATATTTTAGAGCACTGGAAAACTGAGTAGTTTACTATCTTTATAAAATTCAAGAGGTAGGAGCTTCTCATTCAAACACATTGGCATGTAAATACTATGATTACTTATTTCAGGGTAAAATAACCATTGCTATGTCTAAAGTGCAATGATGTATTATTTATTGCTTTTTTTTTAATCTTAAACAATATAAAAAGCAGCAAAGGTCAAATATCTCAATTTAAACATCTTAATGAGTGATTCTGAAATAGAAAAGCTATATATAAGCATAGAAATAAATGTACAAATAGAAACCATTTACTATACTATCCTTTAAAAAGAATCGCTTTGTCACGTTTTGGTTGTGGTTTAGAGCAGTGTTTTCCATCCTGGTCCTCAAGGCACCCTGCTCTGCATGTTTTGGATGTTTCTGAGGTTCAGCAAACCTGATTCAGATGATTGCAGTTCAGCAAAGCCTGATAATCTGCTATCAATTGATAACAGGTGTGTGAAAGCTGGGAAACATCTAAAACATGCAGGGCAGTGTGCCTTGAGGACCAGGATTGAAAAACACTGGTTTAGAGGACCCAAATGCAAAGGCAGAGTGACTGGGGTGATTTCTTGTAGTTTTAATGATGAAAGCAGTTCACAAAGGCAGGAATCCAAAAATCCAACTATAAATGTAACACAGACCAGAACCATGGAGACATCAAGTGAAACCAGGCACAAGGAGCCAGGGAGAGACGAGGTGAGAAGCAACGACAGGACCAGCAACAACAAGGAACCAACAAGGAGTGACAGCAGAGGGAGAGTATATGTAGCTGACTGAGACAATGGCAGGGCCAACGAGCTAACAAGGAGCAGGTGTAAGAGGAGACAACGAGGTAGCCAAGGGGAAAGGAACACACACAAGAGGGCAACAGAGGAAAACAACAGAAAAACCTGGGAACTAACATAAATCTAGAAACTATAACAAAATAGGAATTGAACTAATAAAACTAGGAAACATGGAGCAAAGTAAATAAAAGAACCAAAACCATGACACGCTTAAGTTCTGCTATTTTGGAACAAAATATATTTGGCTCGAATGCTGGATCAAATATTTAAATGATTAAAGTAGACTGGTCTGTTTAAAGTTAAAGTTATAACTTATGTTGTACTTTGATTTTCTACTGGGAAATTATTAGGATAGGAATGTTGTTTGCCTACACGATACATATGACTCAAATATCCAGATTTAAATTTGGGTACGAGTCACATAATTATATGTGCATACTTTATAATGAGGAAAGAATATGAATCAGTCAGCTTCCCCAAATGAGCATCCTATTTCTAAACCTTCTTCAGTTTAAATTAATCTTTGACATTTGATAATAAAATCAATTTCCTTTTTCCCTCTGAAACACAAATAGGTTTCTAGTTTTTCCTGGACTTAATTATAGTTTTATGCATTAGCATTTAAGTTTTTTTCATGAGATATATATCTTCAATAGATACTATGTAGATTTGAAATGTTTTGTTGCCTATATGTGTTGTTCCTTTGGTTTTTTGGTTAATTCAGAGAAAAAAGTAATTATTATTCTATATTTGAATTTTATTAGTATTGATTCAAAGCTCTCATCAAATTTTAAGTTTTTAACTAAGGCAGATTTTTAGTAACACAACAAATCTGCTGAGTACACTGAGATCTGCTTGTTCTTTTTTTAAGGAGAACAGTAGCTACCTGACGAGGAAATGTTTACCCTTTAAATTTATTTGAATAGATTTATGAACTTTAAAAGTATTTTATGCAGCTAATCTAATACAATTAAAGCAAAATATAAGATATTTTTCCTCCAACAGTTTTTTAAAAGACAGTGTTCTGAACCTAAAGGTATTTATGTATATATTTGTGTGTGTTTGTGTGTTTGGTTTGAGTTACAGTATCACTTTCCTCTGCCATTAGAAGAGAGGTAATCATTTCTGATTAAAGGCCCAGTGAGGATACTTGGCCTTGTGTTGACAAGTGCTAATATACCACCCAAGGGTGCAATAACCTTGGCTGGGGCCTAATATCGAGAGGACATTATAGGTTTTACTGTCACTACTGAAAATGTGCCTACACCATCTGTTCAGAAAAATAAGTAAGGATGGAGCGAAAAACTAGGAGTTATTATCAAGGTTTAAATGAGTCAAGGCCAGTGTTCAGTCTGGCCTTTCATCCACTGGCTTTAAAAAGATATATAAAAGGCTCCAAGCATGGGATTTTTCCTTATTTTGAAACATCAAAGCTCCATATTGCAGCGTATAAGATGTTCTCCTGCCTTGAGTCGTTAGCGTGCAATAACCGCAAATCTACTTTGCAACTTCAATGGCTGATGAAAAGAATGGAAGAGAGGAAGATAGAGACGGTGACTGCGAAGTGTTTCACTTGATCAATTGCTTTTGAACATTAGAAAGTAGATGACTCGGACTAATGGTCATTACCCAATAATTTTTCCCTATTCCATACATTCTGGCTCATGAATTTATTGTCGTCCTCTGTGTGGGTCATTAGAGGTTAGTAAACCTCACAGTTTTAATTGGCAGTAGCAAAAGCAAACCATTTAATTGTTTTCAGAGGCACTTGTATTCTTGGTTGTTGTGGGAGGATGTATGAATGACAGTTCCTCTCAAGAACAAAATAAGTGTGTTTTTGTGGAAGTCTTTCACAGCATTGGGTGTAGTATCTTGAATAATTGATGCTTTTGCATCTTAGGACCTAAAGGTACCCACTAGATATTGGTATTCTTCAGATGCTTAAGGCAGCCTGTGTTGTTTATGCTGCATATGTGTTAGCTGTAACTGAAATTAGTTATAAAAAAGTGTACAACCTTAAAAGAGGCCTATCAAGATTTACTGTGCCTTTTTTCAATTAAGCAAACTGTAGTTTTTTGTTCTTTAGCAAGTGCTCTTTGAAAATACCTAAGAAGACAAATGTTTACAGTTTACTTAGAATAATAGAGTTTTGGGATGGCTGAACCAAAAGCAAGACATAAACCTGTAAACATGCTTCATCATCATCAAACATCAAAGATTTGGAGCTCATCTGCAGAGATGAATTGTCTAAATACCAAAGGAACAACAGAAAAGGCTGGTGTGCAAACACAAAAAAAGGTTTGAATACTACCTGTCTTCCTGAATACTGTCGTGGAAAAAAGTATTCAACTATTCACCCTAGTTAAATACACAGAGATCGATGGATTTCACTCAGTCGGCACATTTATTCATATCTTTGCAAAGAGAGAACAGTCATCATACAGCCCTTATGGCACAGCATTCTGCCCTGTTCTGCATGAGCAGTGTTCATCCCCCATTACTTACAACAATGGAATAGTAGTCAGAGTCAAAACAAATTACAGACACTTTGGTTAAACAGTAACATGTTATGAATAAACCTTGAGAAAGAATCTGGTTTGTTGTGGGAAGAAGCAACGTCTGGTAATAAACACCATCCTGCAGAGAATGGTGTGGCCTTCAAGATGAAACAGACTGAGTTAAAACTTTTATAGTGAGTAAAAGGGATAAATTAATATATAATAGAAGAGAAATAAAAATACCAATTTCATCTTTCTTTTTTTTTTTTTTTTGCAGATTTTTTAAAAGGGTATACATAATTTTAAATTTACATTAAATACATTTGCACTGATAAAAACATCTTACACAAACTTAATGAAATAACGGCTGATAAAGCATTGTGTTATTTATCTTTTTGGGTGTATAACCTCGTCTTCTATCCATCAGGAGCTGGATTAAGCCCTAAGATAAAAAAACGTTCCTCTCTGAAAGACATCTACTAGGGAAAAACAGCATTGTAGGGATAGCTGGATGGTGTTGCATCAGTAGAGCTCATTCTGATTTCCTTTCCCATTTAGTCTATTTTTCACTCCAGGGACCATTTCCAGGTACCAAGGTTTGTTGTTTTGGGGCCATCATTACCTTTCTGTGTTTACAGATCATTTACCTGGGTAAAAAAAAATTAAAAAGGTAGAAAATTACCCCAGAAAAAAGAAGCACTGAAAGGGAGGTGGAGCTTTCTCATTTGATGTTTGAATGGAATTTTATGGAGAGAACATGAACCATTTCAAATTGACAGTTTTATGGTTAAAATTAACAGAAAACAATAGCCTTGGAGGCTACAATCAAAGTTTCAAACAGCAGAAACATTGAAAGAATGCCAGCCAAGGTGAACTTTCAAGGTACTGCTACCTAATGTTTTAGGTCTATATTTCTCTTAAAACACAAAGATTCAATATTTTTCTGGATGTTTTTTTTTCTATAAATAAATGCAGTTGTTCCATGATATTACTTTAAACCAGTGTTTCTTGATTTTGATCACTGCCTTGCATGTGTTAGATATTTCTATGTTGCAGCACACCTGATTTAAATAACTGTATTACCTCTTAAGCAGCAATCAATTGCTGCAGATGCTTTCCAATCATCCATTCATATAAATCAGGTGTTTGGCAGAAAAAGAGAAACCTAGAACATTCAGGACAGTGGCTGAGAACCACGGGATTTAGCCCAAGGAGTAGCATTCATGACGACAATGAACTGGAACCCAGAAGCTAGATTTGGACAATTATATCACACAATATTTAATATTTTGCCATTTATAACTTGTTTATCCCAGCATTTCACTTTGTAGCATTTTTCCAATTAATAAAAAGAACAACATCTGCTGTATTTTATACTTATTTAATCAAGTATCAGCAAAGCTGTTAATAGAGATCGGGAAAAACATTCAGCAGCTGATTAAAACAAAATTCTTGGAAGTAGAGATAAAGAGGTGTTTATCACAGATGGCAATATCTACGTTTAATACAGCCAGGAGCTGTATCTGACTTAAAGGTCAAAATCATTGAGAAATGTTTGATTTGAAATGTTAGACCTACAATTTTAGGGGATTTTCAGCTGAATTTTTATGTCTTTGAAAATCCTATGATTCTCAAAAATATAATGCATTGCAGTAAAACTCCTTGCCTGCTTTTGTTTTCCTTCATTATCTGCCGAGTTGTGTCTGGTTCAAACAAAAAGATACAAGAATGTATGAATTTAGGACATTAATGAAAATAAAACTACAACTACTGAATAAAGGTCAGCTATGTTATTTTAGATGGTTAAAAACCTGATTTATTTCGTTCCATATAAAGACTGAAAGGTTTAAGTCAGTCCGACACCTTTCCTTAACACATTCCTCTGTTCTTTGTTCCCCTTTCACAGTTGGTTACACAATGAATGACCTGATCTTTGAGTGGCTGTCTGACAACCCCGTTCAAGTGGCTGATGATCTCACACTCCCACAGTTTGTGCTGAAAGAAGAAAAGGACTTGGGTTACTGCACTAAGCACTACAACACAGGTGCATCATAAACTCCAGTTGGATTACCTAAAAGAAAGCAATGACCCTACAGAAGCCAGCATATATTGTGCACTTAATCTAATACCTTCCACAGTCATATAGTTACATTGATCTTAGAAGATTATTCAGGGCAACTTTGTGGTTATTTGGCAATCAATTCACACTCCTTAAACATTTTCACTATATGGATAACAAAAACAAAGATTCAGTTAAACAAGGTCACACAGTCAGTTTGACCAAAGCTTTCCATCTAAGGAAAAGCAGCTGATGGCATAGTTTCATTGTCTCTTCAGTAGTCCATCACTGTGCGCATGCATGTAGCGACAGTGGAGAAGAAAACTCCTTTTTAATGGGAAAAAACCTCCAGCAGAACCAGTCTCAGAGTGAGCGGCCATATGTGAAGGCCTGACTGGGGTTCACCGAAACAGAAGCAGATCTACTGGTTTTTAGTTTTTTGACCCACATGCAGATTTACACGTTGAACCAGTAAATTTTTATGTTTTATTTACATTAAGCAAAAAGAATCTGGAAGCAGCGAGGACTGCAAGAAGTCAATTGAACTTCCTGGTTGGTCTGAGGGGAGACAGCATGCTGATTAGGAAGGGTTTGATTGATGACAGCTGATGACTGATTGATTTGGTTAATTAGGAGATGGAGTGGTTGGATGGTTTTGTAGGGGTTTAATTTAGCTGACCTTGCAGACTGAAAACCTACAAAGGTTTAGGACACCGGCAGCCCAAACTGCTCAAAGAGCCATATTGGACCAAAAAAAACAAAAAATAAATCTTTCTGGAGCCACAAAAATATAAAAGTCTTATATATGCCTCGTATGGCAATATGGGCTCTAAGTGTATTATCCCACTATAGAAAAGGACTATGTGGGCTTAAATATATAATAAGCAGTCATGATTACATGTTTATCCTTGAGCAAATATCACATAGCAGCACGAGGTGAGGGAGGAGCAGTGAACGTTCTCACCGCGCGCTGCTTCACTGCCCTTCATCGCGCGGTTTAAGTTTTTGTTTCATTGATGTAACTATAGAAGCACGATAAAGGAATCTTTCTATGGTGAACGTGTTTCTGTTAGGAGGAGTTGATTGAGTCATGAGGAACCAAGCAGAAACTGACATCCATCAGAGCAGAGCTCTCTAACTCTGAAATCCCACATCCTCCGTCACCATCATTCCTTGGTGTGATTTATATTTTTAGGATTTGGGGGGAAAAAAAGGAAGAAAGCTCACATTCCTGTATGTATAGCTCTACCTGTTTGACCTGTGGACGGATCTGTGGACGGTTTTCTATCCTTGCAACCAAACTAGCAGCAGTAGTGGAGTTTGGAGAAGCAATCCACTTCTTAAATCTATCTTTGCTCTCCTCTCCTCCTCTGCAGATTTAGCTTTCCTTCCTTGGAAATGCCTTTCCAAATTGACAACCTTTCATTCCAAAGCAAAAATGCAGGCAATCCTTCCGCATTGATGATGAAAGCAAATGAGTCGCTCGATTATTTGAATCCTCTTTTATCATCAGCTATTTTCCTTTTTTCCCTTTGGGATCCATGGTCCGAGACATACCCACCCCTTATTTTGCCTGGCACCGCGCCACGCTGGTTACAAGTTGTAACTACAGATCTCTAATGCTATTGGCAAATTATTGTTGAAATTTATTAATTATACAAATGTTAACAGAGTTGGACAACATAATTTATTTTTGTTTGACCTCCTGCAAAACGCATTAAATCAAACGGAAAAAAAAATTTAATTTTCATAAATTTTTGAGAAAGCTCTAAAAGGTTGCCGACCCCTGGTTTAGGAAAACGTGAGTGAGAGCATAGCTATATTGTATAGAAATGTCGTCCTGGAGAGCAGGCAGGCACGTGATGAAGACTCAGAACTGCTGCACACAGGTGAGACCTTTTCAAGAAGATCGGAGAGGAATTGAGGTTCAATGGTTGTCTGGGACAATAACAAAATCCACATTTGATTTAAAAGGAACATTAGATTTAGTTTTTATTAGTTTCAGTTATAGTTTTATTGTTTTATAAAATAGCACTTACTTACAACATAAATTGCCTGTTAAAGGTAAGCCAAAGAGGTCATGATTAAAATTAGCCACAAATCGAACATGTAGAAAAGTGGACTCTTTATGTGGGATGTTTGGCATATAGTTAATACTCCACATTCACCATTAAAAAGACGATAGCAGCAATAGTATTCTGTGGGGATGCTTCTCTTTATCAGGGTAGAGAAGCAGTTTGTACTTGAAAACCATGAATCATTTTTCCCACAATTCACTCGTCAGTCAGAAAATCCCTTTAAAATGTCTGATATCTGATTGTGACATCAAGAATCTGAAAGAATTCAGGGATTAATGAACATCCTTGCAGGTTTTGAGTTAATTATCACATGCACTGTTCCTGCAGGTAAATTCACCTGCATCGAGGTGAAGTTTCATCTAGAAAGGCAGATGGGTTACTACTTGATCCAGATGTACATCCCTTCACTCCTCATCGTTATCCTGTCCTGGGTGTCCTTTTGGATAAACATGGATGCTGCACCGGCCAGAGTTGGTCTGGGTATCACCACTGTGTTGACAATGACCACACAAAGCTCCGGGTCTAGAGCTTCACTGCCAAAGGTAAATCTGCTAATTGGCTATATTTTATGTTGGTTTATAGTTGGAATGCTTACAAAGTAGCAAGACAAACTAAATTGTAATCATAGTAATCTTTTAAAAAGCAGCATGCTTCCGCTGCAGTAGTTTGAGATTTGAGCAAAGCATGAGCAAGGGGAAATGGTGACACATGATTGACAATAAAAAAAAGTTGATATTTTAACACCCTACATATGCCTAGTATTCAATGTTCCACAAATTGGACAACTAACTATGAAGCAGTTGTTGGTTGAAACTTGTTTTTTCACCCACATTATTTACGTCAGTGGACTGATTCCCACTGTTTGGTTCAAATTATGGAAAGTTTAAAAAAATGAAAGAGAGTTGCCATTGCAAAAGGTGAGTTTAAAACTGGGTTGGGCCAGTGTGAAATGTGATTCTCCAAGAGCTTTTTTTTTCTCCTACTCCAAGAGCTTTTAAGAAGTTTGTTGAAGTTATTTTTCAATTTCATATGGAGGCTATAGTGATGTAAAACACTGTACTTCACAGAAGACAGGCATACCTGCACATGTCCAACATTGTTCTTTATAAGCATCCAAGTTGTCCCACATTTGTTTTTTGAGGTCTGGTCACCATAGATCCATTCTATATTTTATGCATTTCTTTTTAATGCAGAAAACCTAAAATTTTCTCATTGACTAAGCCTTTTAAGTTTCTTCTTCAAGAAACTTCAGTCTGCGGGGTTTCAGACCAGTAGTAATTCCTTATGATGCAGTAGTTGATACGAAACTTAGACAGTTACCTGTTGTCCATTTTTAAAAAAATACCTAAATGCATGTGTTTCCATGACAACAGAGAAGAAATGCAGAAGCATCTCACAGTGAAGGTGTGCAACAAGACAGTCTTGGAGGAGCTAGATTTTTTCCCTCCACAGATTATCTGCCTCATGTTAATGTCAGGACAAGTTTAGCTAACATGTAAAACATACTTTTTCTTACTGCACCTTTAAAACAGATACATGCTTTATCTTTTTGTCCTGATATTTTTTTGATGAGACCTGAAACAGTTCAATGGGGTGGGGACAGATGTTTAATTGTATCTACATACAAGTTACAAAAGTGTATTTGTGGGCATCATTCAGAGAAAAACAACGGGCATGCTTAGTTAAAATGATTTAGTCATAATTTTGCATGATTTAGGATCTATTAGGCATGACTGTGGTGGATCATAATAGATGTATAATTTCCTTTATCTCTGTTCTAGTCCGTACTTTTTTAACAACCGGAAATTGGTGCCTAATTAAGTTAAGTCTCAGTGCAATGCTCGAGTATCACTGATGTGCTGTGGCATGTCTTCTTTCATGAATGACACAGCTGGAGCACTCCCCAAGTCTTGGCCGTGACCTGTCTGGTCGCTATGTGTCAGCTGCCCACAACCCACTTACTCATTTAAATTCTAGGTCATGCAAGACATGAAAGTTGTTCCAACCCAGAGCTGAAAGAAAAAAAAATGGGTGAATGGTGACCGATCCACAGTTTTCCCTCAGCCATACTAATTGTCTTTTGATCACTGTGGTGTTTTCTGTTCTCAGGTATCATATGTGAAGGCTATTGACATATGGATGGCAGTGTGTCTACTGTTTGTGTTTGCTGCCTTGCTAGAGTATGCAGCAGTCAACTTTGTCTCGAGGCAACACAAGGAATTCATCAGGCTGAGGAAAAAGCAGCGGCAGCAGAGAATAGTAAGTGTAAATTGAGCAGAAATTCAGACAGCTAAAGGCTGTCTCCAGGAAGTGAAACATTCAAACTACTACATGCTACAGCTGATTCCTAAAATGTAGGCACACAGTAAATCACACACATGCACATGTACATCTCCTTGCAGGCTCCTATAATGTTGACTTATGTGTCTTGTTATTGTGACATGCTGTATATTTTCGACCTGACAACATCAACACGCTACAGTTATCTGTCATATTACATGAGAAAAATCTGTTCATCCCAGTGCAGCTCATTTCCATGGTGGGCACTGACCTGTGAGGAGCTTTATTTATGTCACACCATTTGATACAGAGAAACAAGTGTCCATGATTCTTAGGTATATGAGAGCCAGTAGCCCTGATGACCAACTTCATGCACTGAAAATATATTCTTAAATCGATTACGATAACACCTTCTTAAACCTCAATAAAATTTTACAAATACACTGATCAGTTAGAGTCAATTTAAAGAAGACAATCACCCTTTTTTTTTGTAATGCTTTGATATGTTTGTTCCAAGAAGCTGTACTTAGTGAACAACCAGAAATATGAAGTTAATACATTTAGACAATTTGTTCTGCTTTATTCCTTTTGGCTTTCATTCTCTATTATCGTGGATTTGGAAATCTTAGGCCACCTTCCTCTAAATCTTAGTTAGGATGTTAACCATAACTGGTTTGTTTTTATCTGCCAAATTAGAAAAAGCTTGTTTTAAAGGAGACTTCTCCCTTAGCCATATTATGTGGTATTCTCTCTACTCCCATAGTAAAAACAAAAATGGTTTTGATTAGATGATTATGGCTGTTATCAAATTTGGCTGAATTTGCTAACAGCAGGTCAGCATTTTACAGAAAACAGAAATTACCCTCAAATATCCAATCAGTGCATCCTTACTTTACATTTATGGTGTGCACTCAGCAATTACTTGTATTGTTTCCCTCATCTTCTCTACTTTTTCTGCAGCAACTATGTTATTTTGGGTCTTGTTTATCTTTTATCATATTAGCTTCTGGAAATATAACAAAATATGACTTATAATCCTATTAATAATACATGTGACCTTACACATAACCAAAAAGAACTCTTGTAGAATTAATTCATGCTTTAAATGTTGATGAAACAGAAGTTTGCAGTTGTAGATGTTGTTTGTATTGTATGTTTCTATTTACGGTACGTTTGCTTTGATTATAGAATCATTTTGTACATGATACCCCTGTTAAACTAGATAAATTTTTCTAAATAAAGGTTATAGAAAGTCTTTTTATAGACAAGCCATCTTGACAAACCCATGGCTTAGAGTGGGCAGTCACAGACCTGCACTGTATAAATGTAGAGGGGTCACTGGGCAGAATGCCCTCCTCCATCGATACATGGGGGAGAGTATAATAGCCTTTTAGGGAAAAGGATGTTGCATGTCCACTTCAGTAGCACAATTACTCCCTCAGAGATGTTTGGGGTCAAACTATCTATCTGAGATGTATCGACACATGACCCGACTATTTACACTGGAGCAAAGTTGTGAATTAAGTAGAGAGTAAAGTCCCAATCAAACAAAGGGTTATTTAATGCATTGGCCTTTATTCTTTAGATAGAAAAGGAAAATAAATGTATTCCCCAAACCAGAAGCCTGAATTGAGTAATAAAATCAAAGGTTAAATCAAAGCAGTAACTTTTTCCCTTGTTATTTTTATATTTTCCTTTTGGATGGAGGCGATTGGCAGTCTGGCTGCAAGCGTTGAGTCTTTGCGGAAAGCCAATGACACTCCTGGTAACAACTCAGCCTGCAGGAATCTGAGTCAGCATTGCAGCGCCTGTGCAAGGGTAAAAACAAAACAAAAAAAAGGAATGAAGCCTATGTCAACCCTGACCTTCCAACCCAATTTCTGTCTGTGCCTGCAGCCACCCAAATTGATTGTGTTGGGAAAGTTCACCTCAAACGTGAATTTATACTGTCATCTTTCTCAGAGCCAAACCCAGATCCTTTTTTTTATAAACCTTCTGTTTCTCACCTTCTGCTCCTGTATGCCAGTACTATCCCAACTACAAACCTCCTTCCTTTAATCCTCTTAAACATGTATTCTCTTAAAATGTTTCAAAGTTGTTCTTGTTTTCTTTCTTCTTCTTCCTTTAAAGCTGTTGTGACGTTAACTGAGTTAGTCTTATTCAATTTGATTTTTATTAATAAAGATACGTTAGAAGTTATTATGTAAGTAAAAGCCGAGCTTGGTTCTGACGACCGTTTACACATCACACTATCTCGGTTCCTCGACTCCTCGCCTCCTAGTGACGATTTGTGGTATTACTGCCAGTATTGAAGGAGGAATTCAAGCAGTTGGTGGCGGTAATGCACCAAAAGTTGTTTGTCAACCGCCATAAAACACAAGAAGAAGAAGACGAAGAAGGAGGGAATCAAGCAAATCAAAATGTTGCGTGCAGATTTCGATTGTTGTTTATAGTTGTTGTTCTTCTTCTGTTTTGTGTTGGTTGGCAAGGAACTTCCGGAGGGGCATTACCGCCAACTGCTGGAATGGAGTGTGAATCGGGATGTGCAGCCAGACGGAGATGACGCGTTCTTCTCATGCGCTCTTGTTATCAGAGAACCGAACCAGGGAAAACCGAGCCGAGCCCACCTCTGGAACTGGTCTGCAGTTATCTCAGTCCGGTTGTGTCTAGCTCGGTTCAGTTCAGTTTGCTTTCCATTTACACACGATAAGTTATCTCAGTTACTGAGCTCGGACCGGTCTCGGCGCGGTTTTTCAAGGGTAGTGTAAATGGGGTAATAAAATAAATGGGGTAAAAAACATGGGGTCTGTCAAAAATCACTACGACGGTAAAAACAAGTGTCAGCCAAAAATCATTAAACGAGGAGCTTTAAATTGTAGTTGTCCTTAATCTAACACAATACATAACATTTTGTTAAAACCCCACAGCTAAATAAAATCCACTATGTTCTGTGTGGCTCATCCCTTATTCTGGCTTTAATGTCATAAGGTTCCTCCTGCAGGAGGCCTTTGGCTTATTTTTCCTATTCTGGCAAACTCCTCCTATAAAAAGAGTGTTTGTAAATACCATCCCAAAAAAAGTAAAAACACTAATTAAAAGGCTAAAAGTTGTTTTCAGTGTTGTGCATTCCATAAAAACATGGAACACAATTTCAGACAGACCGCAGAAAGGATGCTAAAAAGGAGTTTGTGGCGATGGCACCGTGTACCATTCTCCATTGTAGATTACCAGGTCTTTTTTTGACTGGGGGCTTGTATAAAGTCCTCCACTGACATGCTTTTTTTTTTAAGTTTTTCTGTCCAGATGCAGACTGGCCGGTCCTGAAGATGTCTTTGGTTAATTGCTTTTGTGCAGCTGTGGTAAAGGGATTTTAGGTCCATATTCGATAAAACTGTTTTCTGTGGATCCTGGCAGTGATTTTAGTGAAGGCCGATGTAATCCAATCTTTTTTTTTTGCCTAACATTGCATCGATATCTGATCTATAATCTTTTTGCTGCTGTAAACACCAGAATTTTCCCATTGTGGGACAATAAAGGGATTTTCTATTCTCTTTTGTTATAATTGTGGATCGAGACATCTCTAGTTTTAATTCAAAATTAAGTTATACTCCTTAAATCATAACATAAACATAGTTGTATTTTAGTTGTTTGGTAGACTGAAACATTGCTGTTTTTTTGAACAAGCGCTTAGGAAACAGAGCAGAGATTAATAACAGTTATTACCCTTGAAGAACCATAGACCCTAGCGCATGACATACTGTCTTATTAAAACAAGAGTAGGAGAAATAATTAAGTAGTGCTAGGGGAGGAACTATACCCTATACCTTTACTGTGTGGTGCAATTTGTCATTTGGACAGCATATAGTAACTATAAAGTATTTCAAAACCAGCCTGCTGTGATACAGGCAATGTTAAAGGGAAATTACATTAACAGACTTAAACTTTGGAGCTCCATATAAAGATAGCTGGGGTCAATTACAGGGTATGTGTCTTAGAGACAGGATGTATATAGAGCACACAGTTTGGATGCACATCAGTAGAATAGCATTCGATGGGAGCTTTTAAGGTCTATGTTTCAAGATTGTCTGGAATTTGGCAGCTGTCAGTGTTGGTGAGGGTGAAACAAAGTAAGAGGTAAAAAAATTGGATGAGAGCTTTCAAAGGCCTTCACACTGACTGCTAATCGTCCAATTTAGATCACACATCTTCACTTCCTCCTGTTAAAGCGAATCTCTGCAAGTGTCAGAGAGGCTTTCATGATTAATCTGTATGTCTATAAATATTAGCTTCAAAGGGCAGAGACAATCTCTTATTCAATGTAAAAATAAACTGTGCCTTTTTTAAAGTAGTATAGAGCAAAAAGTTACCATTACTGCTACTACTATCTCGCTCTTGCATTGCTGAGATCAGGCATAAGAAGATTTAAAATCTACACAGGGTATTTTTGTAGACAGAAATTTTGAATATTGCATTTATAGTTAGAATTTTAGAGCTAATTCTGCTCCCATTCTGTTTGTTGATTTTAAGGTTTCCTCCATTACGTTCAGAAATAAGGTAAAATAACTTAATTTCAATTCAGTCTGTATAATAGACAAATATAAACAAATATAATAAAATAGATAATAAACATGCTGAAAGTAGAAAACATCACTGAGTATGAGATTTGACCTATAACTGAATGCAATGTAAGATTTGATGTGCAAAAAAAAGCAAAAAAACAGGAGTTGTTCCCATCCCCTGTCACCAAATACACTGAGGGCAGAATTATTAGTATTACGACCACATCATCCTTTTCATACATGTTGTCCTACTCCAAGCTGTATAGGCTTGAAAGCCTAGTAAAGTAAATCAGGTGGTGTGCATCTCTGTTATGAGAAGGGGTGTGGCCTAATGACATCGACGCCCTACACACGGTGTGCTTAATTATTAGGCAACTTCCATTCCTTTGGCAAAATGGGTCAGAAAAGAGATTTGACAGATCCTGAAAAGTCAAAAATTGTCCAATGTCTTTCAGAGGGGTGCAGCAGTTTAGAAATGGCCAAGCTTTTGAAGCGGTTCAATCAAGCGGTTCATGGCAAATAGCCAACAGGGGCGCAAGAAGCATGCTGAAAAAAGAAGATGCAAAATAACTCCCCATTAATTGAGAAGGATCAAGCGTAATTCTGTCAGGAAGCCATCAGCCACCAGTTGTGCCATATTTCAGAGCTGCAACATGTCTAGAGTGCCGAGAAGCACAAGGTGCTCAATACTCAGGGACTTTGCCAAGGAAAGGAAAGCTGAAAAAATGCCACATTTGAACAAGACAAAACGTCAAGATTGGGCCAAGAAATATCTAAAGACTGATTTCTCCACTGATTTTATTGCCTAATAATTCTGCACAGTAATATTTACCTGTGCACACAGACATTCTCATAAAATGGCCAACTTCAAAACACATCAACTTCCAAAAAATATTAAACTTTGATGTTAAGGAGTCTTTTGGGTTGATTGAGAACACAATTGTGTCCCAATGATAAAAAGAATCCTCAAGAATACAATGCCTATGCCTAATAATTCTGCACACAGTGTACTTGCTGGATTGTAGATAATGATGTGAAGCATGAGTTCAATCATTTCAACCTCAAAAGAATAACGCTTCACCAGTTTGCTTGGAAATTGGGTTATGGTGTATTGTATTTTAATATGATCTAATTAGAATGTGTGTAGTTGAATAAAAATTTCTTTAAAAGTTTTGCATTGAATTGAGGTAATACTTAGTCTTGTTTATGAATTGATCCCGTTGGTCAAGTGTAATCATCAGAACAGATGGACCCAGAATTGAAACTAGACCACTAGTGTGAAAACTTAACACAGTTTATTGAAATTAAACTGCTGCAGGTAGTGTCAGCGACTAGGGCAGGAACCTCTGGAAATGGAGACAGAAGATTAGTGACCAGCTTAGCTTTACAAAGTACATCAATCACAAACCTAAGGGTCACTAACCTTCTCTTAACCCTAAGTCTGGGAAGAACCAATGAGTTAGGTTTGTGGCGGTCGAACGTGGGGCTGAGGTTGCTGATTACTGGTCAGGAAGTTTTAGAGAATAACTCCAGCTGAGTTACAATGTTCCGTGGTCAGGCACCAAACCAGCATCAGTACTGAGATCTTGACATCAAATGAATAGCATAAGATAAAATCGATTGCAACTTGATACTATCTCAATTTGATTCAGTTGAACAGAGGTGCAGCGGTAATACATGCCAACTGTTCAAGTTCAGAACAAAAGAAAATGCTCAACAAATTTTTATCCTACATTTGCAACTCATTTAAATCCCAGTCAGTGTATCGTTTCATCTTTTCTAAGGAGACTTAAAGATGGCCTTTAGTTAAGGGACATGCCTGTATACCAGACATGAGTTTTTCAACTCAGCATACCAAATGCTTGGAAGGATTGGCATTACAGGAGAACTAGATCTGTTTTTCAATAAATTTCATTAATAATTGTTTGAACACAATGGGGGAATTCAACTTTCAGCTCAAAATGGTCAGATGGTCATTGTGTTAGAAATTGTCCTTTCGTTTTGTTTAGCATTTAAGAAACATCATTTTTTATTCTTAAAATCTACCTTTCAAGTTTGTTTTTTTTTTTTTTTTTTTTTAAAAATGAATTCCCAGTGTTTTTACTGGTGCTATTTTGAGCAACTTGACCTCAGATACATCTGGAAAATCCCCTTGTAATCAGTTCTAAGTAATATGGAAATCAAAACACAAAAACAATCTTTTTTTTCTTGTGTTTGCTCCCACAGGAGGAGGAACTAATGAGGGAGAGCCGAGGGTTTTACTTCCGTGGTTATGGACTTGGTCACTGCCTACAAGCCAAAGACGGGACTGGTGTGGAAGGGCCCACGGTTTTCTCCCCTCTTCCCCCAGTTACTTTGTATGACGGAGAAGTTCTTCACAAGCGTTTTGTTGACCGAGCTAAACGGATCGACACAATATCTAGAGCTGTCTTTCCCTTGAGCTTTCTCATATTTAACATCTTCTACTGGATTACCTATAAAGTGCTGCGACACGAGGACATCCATGCAAACTTGTAAAACGCTTTCTGCTGGCATTATGTTGATGTTTTTCTCAGAACCAAAACTGCCTGTTTGACCCATTACAGTGAGTAAAAATACACACACAAAAAAATCTGAATTTTAAGAAGCAATACTGCTTCTCAAAGCCAGAATAAGAAATGAGAACAAAGTTGTGCTCAGGTGCGCCTTAAGGATCATTGACGCAAAGAAGAAGAGTATGTTTAGCTCAGTGACTTCTCATCAGTATCACTGGCCACCTCCTTGTATGTTTGTTTATTAGAGTCGCTTGGATAATGACAAATCAAAATGGTGCCAACAGCTGCAAATGATGGATTAAGAAATTAGAAAAGTTGATCCTGGCTGAATGAAACATACTGACTTGAATTTTGACACCACTCAGCTTTAAATGAATGTTTTTGACAAATAAAAAGTTAAAGGAACATTTTTATAACTTTAGATTAATACATTGGTATATGGGTGATGGGGACTTTGATATTTATGAATATTCAGTAAGTGATGATTGATATCATTTTAATTATGTGATTAATAGATTATATCTGTATGTATGTCTAGCAGTGTATTAAAATGTATATAAGCCAAGCTGTTCAACTCCACAAAGCACAAATATGTATTTACTTTGTCAACTTTAAATAAATTGTTATTCTGCCAGGAAACAATACAGGAGTTTTCTTCTCTTTAATCAAAGTATTAAGGTGAATACTTAAAAAAGTGTGCATTAGAAACTCAAGTCACATATACAGACGGTGTGACGCACAATTACTTTCCCATTTCAGCTCACTAATAGCTCCCATCAGCTCGACAATCCCAAGAGGGAACGTAGTTTAAAGAAACAGTGGAAATGAAATGGTAAAATAGAAATCTTACAGATTAAAGTAAGCAACTAGTTCAAATCAGTGGCTCAAAATCTTTCATGTAACTCACCACTCTTTGTGTGAGATTGATGGGAGCTGCCTGTTTGTTTCCTGGTGTCGGTGGGGGACTTTGTAGGTGTGGAAATCCAGGGATGAGGTGGGGGGAGTAGGGAAGAAGGACCAATGGGTTTTTTAATGGGAAATCAGAAGGCTGTTTTATCAACTAATGAGTTTGAAAGGCGCTTGGTGTTCCACAGCTAATGACCATGAATTGAGAGAGGCAGCTGGAGCTGTCTGTCCTTTTCTCAGCATCCTAATCAACTTCTTGTGGAGGGTGTGTTTAAATGTCACTCCAAACATATGTGTGACCTCATACCTTATTTTACATTTTAATAAAATCCCTTATTCTGCTAGTACAATTTTAAACTAAGTCTCCTATAATTTTGTTGGAACATTATTATGTGCTGGATCAACACAAATTAGCACATTGTAGTGAAAAGGAAATTACATGTGGTTTCTACTAAAATGATCTAACATTAAATACGTAGAGGCTAGTTTAGTTTGGCTTAGTTGAATAATAAATGTAGATCCCCATAAAACTGCAGCTATTATTCCTTGGGTCCAAAAAAATGGACATTAATAAAACAGAAAATAATATAAATTATTACAAACAGAGCGAATGCAAATAAATGATTAAATTCCCTTTCCACAGAGTTAAAAAAGTCCATCATAATATGCTTCCTAATAAAGTAAAAACTGTTAATTAAGAAAACACCATAAATAAGCTGATTATAGTAATAACTACTGTACATTATTGCTATAAATTAATAAGCAATGAAATTCAAGCAAGTTCCATCTTTTAGTAATGATCTAAGTGGATACAAAGAATCCTAAAAAATAGAGATGGGCAGTAAACACTGCAGAATTTTATAAATATTTTTAAAATGAAAGCAAGAGTGATAGAAAGATGGCAAACCCACACACATGAAAAAATGAGGGGAAAAAACACCCTCCAACAGCCATTTTTTGTACCAAATGTCACAATTTCTGACTACTTATTTACTCATGAATCCATACAAATAAGTCTACAATGGAAGTATACTTAAACATTCAATCACTTATTCAATGTCTGGAATTCACTTCTATAAAAGTTGTGATAAATACATTCTCAGCCATTTATTTCAGAGCTCAGATACTAAAAACTGCATTGTTTATGAGCCATTTGGTCAGCAAATCTTACAGTTTTTCCAAATAAAGTCATTAATACTGCTGTCTGCTCTATGTTGAATACTTATTACGTATAACTTCTCCATTGAAGCTCCTGTTAAAAGAGCCAAAGATTTATTTAACTTTTTTGCACTTTTAAGTTAAAATAAAATAAGCCTCGAGGCTGAGAAAACAATGTTGACATGGAAAAGTCTGCATCCTTTATCAAAACTCAAAAGTAAGCTAATTTATAGGATGATTAAAAAAAAAACTTACTACTTTTATTTTTTTATGTTCTACTTTTAATCTAAATGCTCCCAAAATAACAAACTATTTTTAGCTTTATCATCTTCTCTAAGAGCACACTTCATTCACGGTAAAGTGGTAACAGCATTGTTTTAGATCTGACAAATAAACATTTAAGGCAAAATAAGAAGCTTTTCTAAATCCATAAACACTTATTGACAATGCGCAAAATAGGATTTGGGATTGCCCTTAAATCAATTGTCATCAGCTCCTTTTAAAAACTAGCATGCTCCTTCAGAGCCTCCATTATTTCAAAAATATCTAAAAATGTAACCCAACTCTCCTGATCAGATTTTATGCTATCAAAATCTTGAGGAAAAAACTCCTCAAGGAATATATCAACAAAAAAAAAGTGATCAATGAATTATAAATTGGTCTCAGCAGAATGATTGGCCAAAATGAGAACATGAAACATTAATTGTTCCAACCAACTTTAAATGAGTCAATTGGTGTTTTGTGTGTAGGTACCTGTTGTGACATTTTCTCAAAGGAATGCACAATAAGTTATCATGTCTCCGATGTATAATTAAGGCAAACGTGCATTATTACTCATTCAGTAATCCTGAGAGTAATTTGATTTAAATCCAAGACATTTCCTTTTTGTTCCCAATGTCTGTTGAATCCCAACAGTTTCATTGTGAAAATTAAGGCCTAAATGCAGATGCTTTGCAAAATATGCAACTCTAGCTGTTGAACTTCTCCACTGTGACTTTAAATTTAAACTGACGGACAGAAAGATAAGCAATGTACTATAAGCACATGATTACGTTTTTTTTTTTTATTTCCTGCAACTGTAAACTTAAAGGGATAGTTCGGTATTTTTGACATGAATCTGTATGGCATCCCGATCACCAGCGGCATGCAATCACACTGACTTACCCCTGGCAGCGTCCTGTGAGCAGAGTTATCGTCCAGTTTTGGTCAAGCCGAAAGTAGTCCTGCAGGTTTTTAGGAACAGCGAAATAAAACTTTTCTCTTCCCAAAACATTATGTGTCCAAAAGAGTGATATTTTCGCATCCCAAAAACATTGTAGTGGAAAAAGTCACACGTCGTTATCAATTGGTCCTATTTTCTCTCTGTTCGTATCAGTGCGCGCCGTCATTCAGACAGCGAGCCCAACAACAGCCATGTCTCCCTCCGCCACGGAAATATCACTCTTTTGGACACATAATGTTTTAGGAAGAGAAAAGTTTTATTTCGCTGTTCCTAAAAACCTGCAGGACTACTTTCGGCTTGACCAAAACTGGACGATAACTCTGCTCACAGGACGCTGCCAGGGGTAAGTCAGTGTGATTGCATGCCACTGGTGATCGGGATGCCATACAGATTCATGTCAAAAATACCGAACTATCCCTTTAAAGTTGTTATACAAATGCTATATTTAGGAGGAAAAAAGAGCAGCTAAGGAAGAAAACATCAACCTCTTCTGACAGTGATTTATTGAGGGACAATGCAGCACATGTCACCTTTAAATGTAAGTGTAAACACAGGAAATTACTTGCCCCAGGTGGCTTAATGTACCTGGTGAATGTCACCCAGAACATTGAAAAACAAATCTGCGCACAGCATATGCTCCTTTTAACCTGTGGTTTCGAAAGATGTTTCATCTGTGTGGGTTGCACACAGGTTTAATACAAAATCCTGCCCTTCCAGAGCTAAATCTAATTCTACTGTATACTGCTGTTGGGTGGGGTTTCCACCAGACGTTATTGCATAAACCATTATATTATTTTTGGACATTGGGGACCAATGTCCCTGCTGATATTGACTTTGACTATTGCATCATCCCCTCACACAAGACCCTCACAAGACACTACCCCCAAATACACTTGTAACTCTTCAAAATAAAACGGTGGGTCTCAAACATTGCTGTTGCAAACATTACACCTTGCTGAATTGTAATATAATTTGATCATTGGATTGATTATAGTTAAAAAATATATTTTATTTTTTTTCTATGCATTGTAAATAACCTGAACTTATATAGTGCTTTCTCAAGTCAGGAGACTTGACCTAAGAGCTTTATGCTACATTCAGTCATTCATGCACAAAATCACATAGGAGTTTAGTTTAACTGAGTTTCACTAATTCAGTCAAGAGTTTTTAACTGATATGTCTGACTTGGAGTTGATTTTCAATTCTTAAATTTGAATAAAAGCAGTTGTGAATGTATTTCATATGTGTACAGCATTAAATGTATAACCATGATTTGAGCTTGATTAACACCTTCATTTGTTGTGCGAGATTTTATTTGTAACAAAAAACAAGGAAAACCTTGTATTCCTCCCACTTTCCAAAGCTGCACCACTGCACTGTCTAACAGAAAATAAAATTTGAGGTTGTAAAATGCTGAAAATAATTAAATATAAATACGTAACCGGCTCACTGTCATGATCTTGCCGCTGATGACTGACCTAATTACTCATTTCATTCACCGGCCTAGCTCTGCTGAGTTCTCATTACTGCTTATCTGATCCACCTGCTCCAGCTTTTATTTAACCCGCTCTCTAACCAGTCATCAGTGCCAGATTATTCTCAAGCCGTTGGTGAGAGTTCTCTAGTGTACCTGATTGTTTTCTGATTGGCTGATCCTGCCCATTCTGCCTTTCGACCTCTGAGTCTGCCTGTTCCCATTCTGATCTGTTTGCCTGACCCGTCTTTGGACTCGTGCAAGATTCTGCCTGTTTACCGAACCTGGAACTGATTCGTGACACCGTCCTGGATTTCCATTCGGCACCTCTTCGTATCTCTGATCTCCTGGCTCCTGAGCACGTCCTCAACATCGGCTTTGGCTTCTTCCTCTGGATTGTCCTGCCTTCTGTGGTCTGCTCAGTTCTGATCTGCCTGTTCTCTGGCCTCTAAAATTGCAGCGTCTGGGACTGTCTGGGGCAGCGTCCGTCGTGTCTTGTCGGCAGCCGACTGGCTGGAACCAACCTCGTCTTCTGGGCACGGACTGGACTTTAAGACTAGGTTATTGACTCACACGTTCATCATCTTCCTCCCCCAGATAGACATGGTCACTAACCTGTGCTCTCTCCCTGCAGAGGTTCCTGACTTAAACACCCTCACTGTTCCCTGCAAATCTGTTTATTTACTAAACATTGTAGAAAAATGCTTTGAAAAGTGGGTCCTCTATTCTGAGTCTTGACAGCTCACCAAGTTTGCATACTCTCCCATTGATGCAGTGGTTGTCTATAGGTACTCCGTGTTCTTGCCACTACCCAAAAACATGACTGTTACGATATTTGATGCCCCTGAAAAGGATCAGCAGGTGTGGAGAATGAAGGGATGGTTGTATTTATTTTTTATTTCATGTTTTTTTTTTCAAATTGAGCCTCAAACAGCAATATTGATTAACCAAAGTAGCCTTTGTAGACAACCCATCTGAAC